TTAAATCTTTCGTTTCTTTTTCCATGTTGATATTACGACCACCACAAATAAATTGCAACTCTCAAAATAGACAGTTTGAATTAGTATATCTGAAAGCTATTCTTATACTGGACAGGAAATTCTCGCGTAGACGACAGGTACACACAATTCTCGAATATATTTATTTCACCAAATGTAGGCCTACACTGTAATAGGATTACTAAAACGTAGTTGAGGTGCAAGAATCTCCTTTATTTAAACCGCAATCCCGGCCCAATCCTCTTCGTTAGGTATATATATTATGCAATGGCGTAATTAAATCACGGATGTTGTTAAAAGACGCACTTGGGGATTGGCGTGTTTGACAATTGCGGCCTTGAACTTCACAAGCATTACATTGGTAAAAGGCTCGCATACAAATTTTGTTGTTAAGCTGATTTGTTTAAATATTACCAAGTTTTATTGATTGATAGATAAACAAATACTTCAAGAAGCTGATGATATTTATTACATAAAATACTATTAATACATCCTGTTTCCGGGAGCATGTAAATTATACATAGATAACATAATATGAAAAAAACATAAACAATGGATTATAATAATAAAATAAATTAAGAAAGTATGTACAATATATATAAAATGAAATGGGGTTTAACGTCTTACTTTTTTGGGCTAATGCAGACGAGCATGTACGTCATGCAGTGTGCTATGAGGTCAACGGCGCTACGGCCTACTCTTAATCTTATTCGAATTCCAACTGCCAAAGGCTCTTTTACGTGCATGACAATCTGTACACGATACGAGACCTCGTTTTTCGCCCCATGCGAACGATGGAAAATTCCCCAGGAACTTTCTCGGCCAACCAGGATCAAACACGTGGCTCCGTACAAAATATAAACAGAAGTTCCACCATATGAATACATGATAGTCCCTTATGGACACGAAAAAGACATATTTTTAAAATTAATTTTTTGTTTTGTTTTTGGTTTATGTAGAAGTGGGTGCAAACGGCGGGTTGAACATATTTTCGGGGAAAAATGGGTATAAATGAACGTCCTATACTATTGCCTACTGTTCCATCGAATTCCAACTGCCAGGGGATCTTTTACGTGCACGCCAATGTATACACAGCATATCCGATACATACCTTACCTATTTTATTTACATAAATCTATTAAGAGGTTACTTCTAATAATAGAACATACACTCAAGCAGGATACATATGTATTGTCAAATGAATATTTGGTGCGCAGAAAGTGGGAAGGGCCCATTTCATAAAGTATATCACCTATGATTCGTTTCAACCATGTAAGAGGTCATTCAATTAGAATAGGTTACTTCTAATAATAGGATATTACACACGGTTGTATTTCGTAATCAAACAATCCTTCTCACAATTTGGCCTATTGCAGGCGAAATAAAATTTTACAAAAAAAAAGTTTCACAGAGAATTACGAGTCTAGTAATATCTCTGTCAAAGATGACTGCCTTAACACGTGCCGTCACAGCACGCAGCGTCAATCATTGGCTGAATGGCGCGTGCATTGTTTACATAAGACATTAAAGACATTACTGCTTCGGGCGGAATGCTGCCTTTTAGTCATTTTAATACCCATTTACACTAAATAGGAAATAATTTATATCTACAAATACGTCAAACACCTTTATTTATTTTTCCAATACATTAAAAAAAATGTTTTAGAATTTAATTTGTCGCAGGAAAAAAGTTAAAAATGTCATCCTTATCAGTGATTGTAGCGGCCTAGCTAAAATTCGCTGCTGATCAGTGTGCGCGTGCCCCTGACACGTTCATCAAGCGGGGTAGGGGAGGGGGAGGAGGAGAGAAATGGGTGTTTAACGTTCAATCGACACAAACTATGTCATTTCGGGACTAACACATGGTTCAATTTTATTTCAATAATTCACTTGCGCGTAGGGGTCTTTAGCAGTGTGTGTGGGTGTGTGTGTGTGGGGGGGGGGGGTAACCGGAGTAACCGAAGAAAACCCACGAGGTTGGACAGACGACCATACTCCTTACCACGTACAACCGGGGAATCGAAACCACGCCAGTTGACTCAGTGACGGACCTTATGATACAGCTAGCCATTCGACCTGTTAACTTTTTTTCTTCTGTACATTAATTTCTAGACCATTTTTTGAAGTAATAGAAAAATAAATAATGGAGTTTGAAGTATATCTGGATAGAAATATATCCTATTAAGTGTAAATGAGTATATAAAATGATTAAAAGACACTATTCTTCCCGGACTATTCCACGTTGTGTAAACATTGCACGAGCTATCGAGTCAATGGTCGACGCCGCGTGATGTGACGTCATGTCACATCTAAAAGGAATTTGAACTTATATAATATAAAGGTCAGTCATCTTAATCTCAGTTATTGCAGTTACAATAACTCTGCGAAACAGATTACTCTGAGGGTCCACAGCCTTGGTAAAGGTATTACACACTTTTACACTATTTGCGTACCGGGAGCTGCCACTTTGTCAGGAAGTTCCGGTCCGATTTTCACGAAATTCGAACTCAAAAGTTATAATGGTGTAACGGTGATGAACGTTTTTTTTTTTTTTTTTTTTTTTTTTTTTAAACCCCGATTTTTCGTAAATTTCGGGGCCATAATCTATGTAGTTATGGTCCGATATATGGGAATATCGAAGGGAACCAATATCTTTGGATAGTAAACAGACATGGTTTTTCGTACAATCAATTAGTTTTTCATTGTTTTTGTCTTTTCATACTGTTACTTGATTTGTCGCAATTAATAATAACGTGTATGAAAGCCCAGAAAACTAATTATCACGTGCGGATCGCACTGACCGCGGAGACGGGGCACGCCGCTGAGAAGAATTTTTTTTTTTTTTAGGGGGGGGGGGGGGTCCCCCAAGAAAATTATCCGTCATTTCCTTGCATCTGTAGCCATTCCAAGCTATTTGGCTGATACTTTCGTCTAAGTAAACGTTCGGAAATCGTTGAAAAAGAGCCTTAAAATCGAGCAAAAAAGCCAGTTGAACATGCGACTCGAAAATTGTCAAGGCGAGCGAGGCATTATGATGGGAAAAAAGACGAATCTATTCCCTAGCCACTTCACTATTTAAGCCTTGTAACTTGTACTTTGTACTGTCCACACATGAAACAATGCTACATCAAGTTGCACTCATGCGCGTCGGTGATGGGCATGAGTGTATACGCCGCCCATTCCACAAGATGTCTGTCTATAGTCACTCTATAGGATTAGGGCACCGTCAGCTAAACAACAAGAATTCGTTTGCAAGTGGAAGCATTAATTAGACCAGACTGGTGTGTTTGAATCGATGGTTTGAGTCATTTGGGATCCCTGCAACGGGTTGGGAACGGACATATTTGGGTCTGAGAAAGGGCACTTTCAGCAGTAAAAAGGGCACTTTTGAAAATTAGGTGTTACTGATCTAATGTATAGGCTAGCTTGGGCGTGTTTATTTCTGGTTTCAAGAGATCGGGTTGGCTGGGTCTCAGACTTGCCATTGTGGTTTGAACTTTTGGACTGTTACTGTTCTAAGGTGACATTAGTTTTGCAAAGATTGGTTCAATTTTCCCCACTCCAACGTGTAGTCATTGGTTACCCATAAATAAACAATTACACTTATACCAATAGCAAGGATAATTCCACAAGCAAAAGCTGCATACATCCACCTCACAGAGTGTTTTGCATATCCCTTTGCCTCATGATATCGGCTCCTGTTATTATATTCTTTAGCTTCCCAGGCGCTATGATTCGCAAAAACACCGAAAAAACAACAGAACAGAACACTAATATATGAGACAATGATAAGTTGATTGGTACTCTTCCAGGGTCGGGGAAGTATTTCCTCCGAATCTACTCTTCGGACTAAATAAGGAAACACGGTATTGGATTCGAGATTTCTGTTCTCTTTAGTGTTTTTAATGTGAGGCTCGATGGAAAAAGACTCGACGGCTTCTTCCTCGTCATCTCTTGTTGCTCTGTTGACAATTAAGGAACTCATATCCACAGAATATGGTTGTTCATCCACTGGATGAGATTGTTGCTCGACTGGATTAGGTAATTGTTTATTGTCCATGGTACCTGTGTTTATTAAATTGCCATTTTCTTCATCCATGTTGGTATTATGAAACGAGATGATTTCACAAAACAGAAATTCAGTTTAATATTGTAAAATAGTGTTTTTCAACAGTATTGGTCCGTGCAGTTGAATAATAGTCGACTGTTTAACCGCGAACATAGCTCAATGCCAGATTACGGCCTTGAACTTCACAGAAATCATTGATCGCCAAACGAACCAACTGTGCTACTATACAAATATATATTATATAGGTTAAATACCGATACAGCTTTTGCCATATCAGGGTGATGATATTCATCACTACATATTATTGCCCGATAATAACACGCACTCTCTATTCTGCTACTATTTTAATATGCCGTTTAATAATAGTAATTAGTAACACGGTATAATTAAATATTGGTCAAATAAATATTTTTACCGGGGACCATTAAAATCATATATTCATTATTATTTTTACACTACCCCAAATATGCGCACACTATACTGTTTTCGCGTGAAACTCCGATTAATTCACTAAATCGTTCAAAGGATTTTCTACAGATCACCTTCCGTTTTCAATGATTCTTATTCCTGAATCAATCCTGTTTTCTATAAATTCCAACTGAATCATCTTGGTATTCAAGACTAAACCATCCCTGAGTAGTCTCGATAATCCAGCCCCCTGGCTCAACACTATTCTTCCGAATGAAACCAAAGATAGGTTTTAAACGTTTCCATCGCGATGCCACTTCATTATGAGAGCGGACGTTAAATACGGTTATTGTGCACACACCTAATATCCTGTTGATTATAGATATTTACTGAATGAATGACCAGTCTTTGTTGGATGTTGCAAAAAAAATGGTTAAAAAAATTGGTGCCAAAAATTGTAGTGCGAGATATCAAATACTGATCGAGTAACTTGAGACAAAGATGATAACGTTGATAATGTTTTATTTACAGTGTGTTAATATTCTTCTATATTTTAACAACTCTATAATAGATTTCTTTCATATAAATTACATTTTAAACACATCAAAATCTACACAGTACTAACAATACAGTTATAATAATAAAAATACATGTAGGTTAAAAACATTTCAAATTGCAATCTGGTGTCTTATTCACGAAAACTTATCCTAAAATAATTCAAGAATGCACTCATTTCATTATAGTGGAGATTTCAAATCCTGATATAAATTTTAGCTCATGGTGGCCAATGGAAGTGCTGCATTCTTAAAATATTTATGTTTAACATCTGGTGAATAAGACTCTCAAGCCTATATAAGGGAATCGGATCATGTGACTCGGGTTAACACAATTTGATTGGTAGTTCTTCAGGATCTTAATAATAAATAACCTATAATGACATGAGACTGATGATTTTTTTTTTTTTTTGAAATCCCAGTTTTGGTTCTGGAAGAGAACTCAGCAACCACACACTTAAATCATTACAAAATTTAAAGGTAGCGTTGTCTTTTGCTATTAATTAGAAATTTCTTAGTAGAATAATTTTGTTTGTTTCCATGAAACAATTCTGACTTTGTCTTTGGGAAAGGGCCTTATTATACTGAATATATCAAAACCTAAAATGTTTGAGCTTAGAGCTTTTGAGATGTGTAACCCAATAATATCTTTTATTACCCCATCCCCTTCCAAAAAATAGAAAGAGAGAGAATGCTAGGTTATTTCTGGACTAACACATGGTTCAATTTTATTTCAATAATTTGTTTTTGCAGAGTCTTTAGCAGTGGGAGAAAACTAGGGGACCCGGAGAAAACCCATGAGGTGACCCTACTCCTTGTCACGGCACTTGATTTAATAACTCAATGCCCCCCCACCCCCAAATAGGAAGTAAAGAGTTCCCAAAGAACTAAAAATCAAATTTATGTGGCCTATGTCTCTAAGAAAGGAATGTATATATACAATGACAAAACATTGTATTAAACTTCACTTCATATAATAATACACACAGCTCTTTATAAAACAAAATATTATAATAAAATAAACAATAGCTGGGACGGAATCATTTCTTGAACCAATCAGAAAAAGTATTTTGATCTCCTAACCAATCAGAATATGTATTTTGATCTCCTAAGCAATCAGATTAAGTATTTTGATCTCCTAACCAATCAGAATAAGTATTTTGATCTCCTAACCAATCAGAATAAGTATTTTGATCTCCTAACCAATCAGAATAAGTATTTTGATCTCCTACGTATTTCACATCTTCTAACCAATCAGAATGTGTAGTTTACATCTCCTAATCAATTAGAATATGTAGGTTACAATTCCTAACCAATCAGAATACAGTCACCACAGGGCACATTTAAAAATTTAATAGCCATAATTATTATTAAAGCAAAAATGATGATGACACAGATGACATCACATATATGTAATAACTTGTTTATCGCCTACTGTTTAAATGTCATTTCTGATTAGTTCAATATCACAGTAAGAGACTAGAGAAATTATTACACACCACATATAATACATGCATATATATATATTTATAATTTAAATGTTTAACAATGTGCCTTACTGCTAACAAAGGCCACACGCGAGGACCTAAAAACATATGTTGTCTACCAGGAAAGGCCTGATACATCTGTCATTAAATCTGGTCCTTGTACTATGCCAAATTCAGCTCTTTTCTTCATCTTAATTATATAAAATCATGGTAAAAATCTAAGAATTCTTCAGGAATTATTACACAGTGCTGCAGCCACAATTCTTACATTATGTATTTCAGGGCCCAGTTGCACAAAGCTAACTTAAGTTTACATGCACAAAATTCGATAGAGCTGTAATCTTCTCATTGGCTATGAGAGAAAGAAAAATGAGGTTTAACGTCCACTCGACACAAACTAGGTCATTTTGGGACTAACATATGGTTTAATTTGAAGTCTCAAGTTCTCTTTGTGTAACAGGGCTCTAGGCAGCAGAAGGAATGTACATATACATGAATTATTTTTCAACTTTTCTCACAGAGAATAAAAACTCATTTAAAACCATTTCTATGAAGAATAAAATATAAAACAACTGCTATCGTTCAAAGACTCTCTTGTCGATTATGTCCTTTAAAGCAGCAAGCAAACAAAAATCTGATTTGAAATTAAAGAATTTGTAGAGATAATCCATTTGATAAGAAAGTTATTTGTAGCCAAGCTGTTTGAAGATGTAATGCTGAACAAAACAAACAAAAAATATTTCCAATTAATACTTTAAGGTAAACTGGGATATAGCAAATAAAATATTTCTAAATGTATAGTTTGTATAGGAGCCTAACTGCTGACCACAATCTAATAGACATTAATATAAATCTATATTTTACATAGGATAAAGGTAGCCACAACTTAAGTTAATAAACATTTGTAATTTACATAGATCAATGTGACTACAACCTATAAACAGTAATATAAATCTATAGTTTATATAGGAACCTGGTAGCCACAACCTAAGTTAATATAAATTTATAGTTTACATAGGATCAATGTGACTACAACCTATAAACAGTAATATAAATCTATAGTTTATATAGGAACCTGGTGGCCACAATTTAATAGACATTAATATAAATTTATAGTTTACACAAGAACCTGGTGGCCACACTCTAATAGATATTAATATAAATTTATAGTTTACACAAGAATCTGGTGGCCAAAATCTAAAAAACATTAATATGAATTTATAGTTTACATAGCATCAAGGTGACCACAACCTATAAACAGTAATATAAATTCTCTAAAACAGCAATTTTACATTAATATCAATACTATCATATCACCATTGTGAGTAACTTTATGATTTATTAAGTTTGGTCCTCACAAGTCATGGAGAAGAAACCCCACAAAGTTTGGCAGGTGACTCTACTCTGGGATCAACAACACACCACTTGACTCAAGGATAGACCTTATGATCTATAGCACATGCATTAGAAAGTCCATAATACTTCAAACATTGAGATCTATATATTAAAATGGCACAACAAATATGTATGTGTGAACGAATATGTATTTAATGATCCAAAATTATGACTTCTTCATTAATGATCAAAGGATCGGTCCTGGAAAAAATTTAAGCTCTTAATTTATAATCCTAGAATCTTTCCATGAAAATACAAGTTCTTAATTTATAATCCAAGAGCTCGTAATAAATGATCCAAGAGTCTTTCCAGGAAAAATACAAGCTTCTAAAATCCAAATCCATTTATTTATAAATAAAGTTTTTTAATCCTATACCTATGAATAATGAAAGAGTGAGAGAATGTATTTTTGGCAATTATAAGCAGTTTGAAAGATAAAAGAATAAAATATGTAAAATAAATTTTCTAGTTCATGTATAGAAACAAGTGCATTTATATCAACAAGAATACTATATATTTTTAAACAGTAATTGTCAATACTGTATTATCATTTTTGAAACAATTGATCTGGGTCTTCATTATAATCACTATAACGAATCCGCCTTTAGATTAACCCTTTATCACCTGTAAATAGCAGGCTACCCCAAATTCCTGAACAAAATTATAGATTTTGTGATCTTTTAAAATTTGGTTTTGTCGCTCATTTTCTCAACTACTAAACTGCCTCATAAAATTAGTCCTTAAATAGGTGACAGCTATTCCTGTGACTATAGCCGTTAGAAGTGTGACAGGGTGAGAGAGCAGGGTTCGAGTTCACAAATTATTCTCAGACTTAAGCTAAGAATTTACTCAACTGTCAATCACTGTTTATGAGAAATATCTTTGATCCATACACACAAAACTTTACACATAGTTTCTTATTGGTGTATTTGATACATTAAAACAACAAAATAAGGTGAACAATTTTGAGTAAATTCTTAACTGAAGTCTGAGAATGCTTTGTGAACATGGGGCCAGTTGTTTTGGACTGTTCGTGACCAGGTGCTAAAGGGTTAAAGAGTATAATATATGTTGTATATGTTGCAGATACGATCCAGGCCTATTCACACAAAATTAAATCAAAATATTTCAAAGATGCAATACTTTTTATCAATGATAGTTTATATTCGTTAAATATTTCAGTTTTAATTTCATGCCATAAGCCACTGATGGTATTATGACACAAGTAAAATATCTTTGATCTAGGCCTATACACTAAAAATATTTCAACGATGCAGTCCTTTATCAATGAAAGGTTATATTCGTAAAATATTTTAATTCTGATTTTCATGACTTAAGCCCTTATTGAGATTACAACAGAGTAAAATATCTTTTATCTAAGAGCTACTAACACCGTTTAGTGCTATTATTCATGATTTAAAGACCATTCTATCACTTGATCACCCAACCCCCTTAATAAGATTACAACAGAGTAAAATAACTTTGATCTAAGAGAAACTAACAGTGTTTCGGGCTATTATTATGATTTAAAGACCACTCGATCAATTGATCACCCAACCCCATTAATTAATACAGTAAGACTAGTAATAGTTATATACAATATAATTTAAAAACAATAATTTAAATCTATATTAAACAATTTCTAATTCACAGCAAGACAAAGTTTAACTCCATATTGTATTCAAACAATCTGATTAAAATACAGATCTACCTTTCGTTTCGATTTTTATACTTTCGATGGCCTACACTACATGAAGATTTGACCAGTTGTACATTGATTAATCAATCAGCATTGATGTTTCTCTGGGGGTCAGAGCACGCCAAGAACTCGTCGCATGACCGTTTCATTGGCTAATTCCTCACATCAACTAGAATGCCTGTTATATAACAACTCTTCCAGATACAGACAAGTAAAATGAAATTTTGAACTATAAAAAACGAAACGAAACAGGATCTGTGTTTTAATCTGATTGGTATTCAACAGTTTTATATGTGCAATTTATTTGGGTTTTTTTTATTTATAAAATAATAAATCAATGCTAGCATTTTATCAATACAAAAAATGCTAATTTTCCTTTGATGGACATCAGTATAATTATTGCTTTATCGTACATAGACCACAAATTAAACAATCTTGTTTTCTTATGCTTAAAAACGTTTGAAATCAGTTGCTGTTCTTCTTTTTAATTTTGAGAAAAACAAAACAACATAAACACAAAAACAAACACAATGACAGACCTTATGATACAAAGCGCACAGGCTAGCCATTCGGCCGTCAACCCCCCTCAAAATTTATAAGCTTTCATTTTGTACAACTTTGTCAAAGACTATGCTTTGCATTCCTGTAGACCCACCATCAGACAATGGATCTCAATTCACAAAGGTAAAAATGTAATCACACTATTAGGAAAAAGGGAGAGAGAAATGGGGTTTAAGTCCACTTGACACAAACTAGGTCATTTCAGGAAAAACATATGGTTCAATTTTATTTCAATAATTCGCGTAGGAGTCTAATTAGCAGTGGGAGGAAACCAGAGGACCTGGACAAAATCCACAAGGTTGGACAGACGACTTTACTCTTTGTCAAGTACAAGCAGAGAATAGAAACAATGCCACTTGACTCAATGACAGACCTTATGATGCAACATGCACGCGTTAACTCAAACCCCGGAGATAATCAAGGCAGTAGGACAGACGACCCTACTCCTTGTCCCATACAAGCGGGGAATCAAAAGCAGGCCACTTGACGCAATGACAGACCTTGTAATCGGACGCGCCCGTGTTAAACCGAGCTCCAGCAAAAGAAATATGCATTACTGACTTGCTTGTCACTTGTATTAGCACACTATACTAAAATCATCATGATCCATCTACAGTAACAGTGATTTAAGCTTTTTTGTGGGAAACACTTCAACCCATCTACTGAAGATCGATTTCAATTTCGTACAAGACTACTATGTTCCCATCATGGTGAGTTATTGAGCAATGTTAAACATCATTAGAATCATGAATGTGACTTATATAAGCAGAGTTTACGATCATTGGAATCATGAATGTGAGTTATATAAGCAGAGTTTACCATCATTAGAATCATGAATGTGAGTTATATAAGCAGAGTTTACCATCATTAGAATCATGAATGTGAGTTATATAAGCAGAGTTTACCATCATTAGAATCATGAATGTGAGTTATATAAGCAGAGTTTACCATCATTGAATGAAACCATGATTGTGACTTATATAAGCAATGTTTACCATCATTAGAATCATGATGATGACTTATATAAGCAGCATTTACCATCACTGAAACTGTGACTTATGTAAGCAGAGTTTACCATCATTAGAATCATGATGGTGACTTATATAAGCAGCATTTACCATCATTGAAGCCATGATTGTGGCAGAGTTTACAATGCAAAAGATTTTATTAGGTTGATAAGAATCATGTTTACAATCAACAAAGATTTATTTATTAAGTTGATTGGATCCATGATGGTGACTTATAAGCAGTGGTTAAGTGTGCATAGATCTGTGGTCATACGAAGTGACATATAGTTCATAAAACAAACAATACTGTCCAAGTTTAACAAATTTTGTATCTCAAAATTTGGCGGTTATGTATACATGTAGGTTAATGACATTCACAGTGTATGCAATTCACAGTGTACGCAATGCACAGTGGTTTAAACACTTGCCCAACAGTGCTGGAAAGAACAACCGCAAATGCACATGAGATTAGGGCAGTAACATAAAACCATGGAAACGAAATCAGCCAACTTCTTAAACCACTTGGCCACCCATAAATTCAGAAATATGGATATAAAAAAAAACCCAAGTACGTGCATACTATGGACCAGGAACCGAACATGATGTAATCGCTGCCATCTTGAAATTGTGATGTCATATAAGAAGTCGAATTTCGTGAATCGCTGTTTAATTGTCCAAGGTGCAATCATACCAAGATTCACGTCGATCGACCTTAGGCTTTTTTTCGAAGAGCATCTCCCCAAAGAACAAGAAGATGACCAGTGCTTGGGGCCAAGGAATAAGCACACCAATCAACCATGAATTTGCAGGGCCCTAGGTGGTTTTTCGAACGATCGGGGAGTCACAGTGGCTCAGTGAGTGAGACGTTGGCTCGCTAACCTGGAGGTCCCATGTTTTCAATCCTTGCTTTGGCCGAGAAAGTTCATCGGGATTTTCTGACGTGGTTCCTCCTTGTCAGTGGTGCAGGACCAAGGGCCTGGCAAGGGATAACATAAAGTCATTTGGATGAGATGCAAAACCAAAAGATCCCTTTGCAGTTTGAATTTGAGGTAAAAGTAGGCTGTAGCATTGCTGCCTGGGCAAAATTTTTATATGCCTGTTTTCATTAGCCCAGTCGGAGCAGAACAGTAGGACGTTAAACCCCATTTCTTTTCATTTATGTTTTTCAAACAGTGTCGCTCCACAGAAGAAGAACAAGATGAAATTGTTTGTAGCCAAGTTGCTAGTCCAATATGATATTCACCATACCTTTACATATCCACCAAAATTGGAGTTACAAAACTTCTTAACAAGACAGTAGTAGATAATAATAATAATATTAATAACAAGAAAATTGTGTAAGTTACGGGGGAGGAACCGGTGAAGGATTCTCCATTTGAAAATGTTGATACATCTTCTGTGCAAGACTGTAAACATATTCTATACCAGGTCTCTGTTCAGGGTTGGGGTTAATGCACATCCTCACTAATTCTCGTAACTACAATAATAAATTAATAAATAAATAAATTGATTAAAGGGGCATTAAGATAAAGAGCTGACAGTTCTCATTATAATAGTTAAAAGATAGATAATGAAAGTGGAATATGCTGAAAATTTCAGTCAAATTGCTTGAGTCTGAACCAAGATATTAGCCATTCAATTTTAAGCTTGATCATCGTTACTACTGTTGGTAAGACAATGTTCAAAGTCTTTATTATCCATTTTTACGTTAAAAATGTATTCAAATCCACTAAATAGAGTAGGCTAACAATGGCATCGAGAGTTGATTATGGTCTTGATATGTTAACCGATGTCTAATAACATTTCAGGCCTAAAGAAAGACCTGCAATAAGGCAGATTTAGCTCTTGCAAAATATATGTTAAATTTATAAATTGATTACTAAATAAATTATTCATAAATAAATAAAAATATGAACATTAAATATAGATAAGTTGTGCTAATCTGAATTGTCAAAGCTTCCTTCAAATGCACACTAATGAATACATGTACACCAGCCGACCTTGGTATTTGCTTAACAATCTATTTGCTTAAGCCAATATTTGTGACAGAAGAAACATCTTATTTTCATGTATACAATTTTACAAGCTGGTAAAGTAGAGAAACAATCATAAATTTACTTTTGAGTAGATTCTTCATAGTGGTATATGTACTTTATTATCAAACTCACCAGTTGTGATTTATTACTTGTAAAATGTAATAATATTGACATTACCTCATCTGAATAAATATCTGCTGGTAGAGGAGGGTAATCACATTGTTCTATCTTTTTACACAAGGAATATAAATTCATTTTATCACCGTAGAATGGGGACTGGAGGGCAGCCATCTTTAAAATAAATATAATACCAAGTGGTTAAACATTATGTTCCTTTAAAGCTACGTTCCCAGAAAAGTATTTATCGGGTGGTTATTTCCAATAAAAGTATGGCAATTTTGGTACATACAATGTATGGAAAGTAGAAATATTCAATCTTACTAGAAAAATACTGGATTCCCTGGAAAACACTCATGGGGCGCATACATGACAAAAATGTACGGGTTTCCCTAATCGACAACCCGACGATTAGGAGTGTCTGCACGCGTAACGTCGAAGGTTGCACGCGGAGATTAAGCGCTCGATGTACATTTTGATACACTTTATGAAGATTTAGATGTACAACACTTTCTGAGAAAAAAATCACGGAAAAAGACTCGGGCTGTGGATAATCCGAGAATTTAATTAGGCTTCGTTATTTGTAATAAATAGTCAGTGATAAAGGCAACATCGTCTTTTGTATGCAATGAATTCTCCTCCGACATCGCACTCGTTGTGTCCGTGACACAAACATGACCTCTTTTGATCGAGTTTTTATAGCCGGCTATTCCCTGACAATTGCAATGTTTTGAGAAGGATTTGAAGCAAAATTATGATAAATTAATTAGTTTGAATAAATATGTTTTTAGTCCAAATATTATATCATCAAATCACCCAGTTTGTACCCCGGAATGTATCATTAAGTATTATTAAGTCATCTATTCAACCCATAAAGCCTTTTTTTTTTAAAGAAATGAAATGAATGGGTTTTAACATCCTACTTTTCTGTGCCGACTGAGCTAATGAAGACAGGCATATGCCATACAGTGTGCAATGAGGGATATTTTGCCCAGACAGCGGCACTATGGCCTACTCAAGGATTCTTTTTACGTGCACCTTGTTTTTTTTTTATCCCATCCAAACAACTATACATTGTCCCTTGCCAGGCCCTCTGTCATGCACCAATGACAAGGGGAAACCATACGACAAATCCTAAACAAGATTTTTCAAACTGATCGAGGGCCATATAACTGGCAGTAATTATCGGAACTCGCTGAAAATCAACATGCTTCTTCATCTCATGACCTTAAACACTGTGTATGAATTCAAAGGCAACTGGATATTAACTTTAGCCTCTGGACTGGCAACAATATAGGAACACATTTCAATGTGGGCGTATAAAAATTAAATATGGCACAACATGAATTTTGTGGTCTAAGGGGAGATAATATGGTTCTAAGGACAATTGAATAGAGTCCTCTCCCTTTGTGCTAAATATTTTTAGGACATGCATTTAAATAAACACAAACTCGTGTTACACATGAGACAAAATTTCTAAGGATTGAAGATATTTACTATTCTAATGTAAAGGGGAAACTAGGCCCCAGTTTTACAAAACATTGTTCGCTTTATTTTAACTAAAATATATCCCTTTACAAAACTTTTGTTTTAATGTATCAAATACATCAATAAGAAACTATGTGCAAAGTTTTGTGTTTCTGGATCAAAGATATTTTTCAAACAATTATTGAAAGCTGAGTAACTGTCTGAGAATGCTTTGTGAAAAAGGGGCTTGGAAGAAAAATCCTGATGAACTTTCTTGGAATCTGAGACATGCTGGTAAGAGATCCAGCACCACACTCAAAAACACAACCATTAGTTCAGTGTAGAATTGAATGATGGCATCCAGAAGGTTTTTAACTCTTTAGTGACTCAGAGGTCTGATGTCATAATAGTAATCCGTGATTAGGAGAACATTTTTGTGTAGGCCTAGACAATATCACTGTTTTATTATAATTTTTCAAGAAGAAACAGTACTATTTTTAACTGTCAAAATGTCAAACAGGAAGTAAACAAACGAGTGAAAGTTGTCTAATTATAAGGTAAGTAACTCTCATTATCCTAGGAACGTAAGTTTCATTCGGCTAACCGTTTTTGTCGATAAAAGTCGCCGTGGGTATTTAACGGTAATGTTATAGGTGACGACAAAAGTCGCATAGAGTAGCTGTAATCATTGTCTATTTATTGTGAGAAAAAATAAATAAGTTGATTATCGGAGATGAATTAGGACGTAAATTGATTCCTACCTCATAAAGAAGACAGCCAAGGGACCATATATCAGATTTAAAATTATAGCCATTTTCATGTATTCTTTCTGGTGACATGTAGTATGGTGTGCCAACTAAAATAAAAACAAATCATTTTAACATTTAATTTTGAAAAATGAAATCGTTTTACATTTATAAGTAGTTGTTGTGATTAAAACTACTAATCATCATTCGAAAGAAATCTGAAATATTTTAATACTTGAATCTCTAACAATGATGCAATTGGAAATTATTGTGGACAACATATACCAAAGGCCTGTATTGAGCATTTTGCACAAGAGATTGTTGCTGACATGAAGTTAGGTTGTCTATGACAAATAGTCCATACAAACAGTACATCAATATTTTCTACAGATATATTTTCAAGAAGATATAAAAATTGTTGAAATGATTAACTGTGACAAATACATGTAGTCCCTGGAGTAGCGAGCCTCTATAAACAGAATTTGACAGTTTCTTTTTCTACAGATATGTTTTCAAGAAAATATAAAACTTGCTAGTGAACACAATATAAAACTTGCTAGTGAACACAATAAAACTTGCTCGTGAACACAATAAAACTTGCTAGTGAACACAATAAAACTTTACCCAAGGAATGTGCTGCTGTTGTTTTGGAACTGAAGAATCTACCAAGTCCTAAATCACCGAGTTTAACGACACCCTGAGCTGTTATAAATACATTTGCCGGTTTTATATCTGAAAGGTAAAATAAAAAATATTTGTAAATTACAATATCTGTAGAGAAGTTACTTCCTCAAATACTTTTATCAATTTAAATGCAGTACTTCCTACATGAAAATAATATACTATAAAACATAATATATTTGGGCGACTCTTTTTAAATGCAGTACTTCCTACATGAAAATAATATACTATAAAACATAATTTATTTGGGCGACGTTCGGCGCGATGGTGTAGGTAGGTGGTCAATTGATCAAATGTGTGTCCTTTAGATCACAAGGTCTGTGATTAAGTCGGGGGTTGGTTAACGAGCGTGTGTTGCATCATAAGGTCTGTCATTAAATCGGGGGTTGGTCAGCAAGTGCACGTTGCATCATAAGGTCTGTCATTGAGTAAAAGGGTGTGGTTTTGATTCTCTGCTTGTACAAGGGGTAGGGTTGCCTGTCCAATCTATGTTTTTCTCTGAGTCCTTCGGTTTCCTCTACACGCAAGCAAATTATTGAAATAAGATTGAACCATATGTTAGTACCGAAATGACCAAGTTTGTGTCAAGTGGACGTTAAGCCCTCTCTCTCTGTCATAAGGTCTGTCATTAAGTGTTGTGGCTTTGAGCCAGGTTGCATGAGTTCTCTCTGTCAGCTGTTCTCTTCAACCACTTCAAAAGAGATGCTCGAATTAGCAGAATTACAACTGAGTGAAGTGAAATTCAGTACCGTCACATTTCTCTCAGTCCTGACAACAAAGATGGTGTGCGTAGAATCGGGACATAATTAAACACAACCAATATGATTCAACTGTCATGGTTGGTTGATACAATTTCTCATGCAGTCAGCACATGCATGGCAGCCTGAAATTCCCCTTTTCACTATTTTTGGGATTGAGAGAATTAAATTCCGGAACGTTTCAATCGAGTATTCCCATACATCCCTAATTAATGTACCTGTAAATGCTAAGTACAGTAGAATCTGCATTAAGCAGCCACCCAAGGGAATTTTCCGAACTGACCGCTTAACGGGAGTGGCCTCTTAATAAAATCATGGTGCTTTTTGTGCTGACATAAATTAAATAATACGCTTGGATGCATTGGAAGCGAACATCAATACTTGCATCGGAAAATTTGACCATCGCTGAATCTTGTGCCGAACGAAAATTCTTAACTCAAATCTCAGACATAACTTCTGTAAACTTGTCATTTTGTACCAACCTTCGATACTACTGTCTACCATTGTGATACATTCGATAATATTTATCCATTTTTGTGAAGAAAATTGATGAATTAATTTTATTTTATCAAAAAAGCACATGAACAAAAAAACATCGCTGATTTTATCACCTATTTAGAGGGGGTGTAACTCTGTATGTAATATTATAGGCAGCGCTAAAACGTTTGTTTAACAACAAAGTGGCAATGAAAAAGAGATACTAGATAATCGTGACAAAACTCAGTACTTTTATTTTATTCAATTAGTATCAAATAATGTGTCGTTACGCGTGAAAACAATGAGCAGGTTAGTCGTTTAATAAAACAAAAGATTAATTAACAGATACTCCCGGGTTGATTGTTATTTTTACATTTCTTTTTACCTGATCAGTGGGGGTCCAGTTAATTAACTACTACTCACGGGATTAGCGGGGTTGATACAAAGAACGACAAGATGGTATCATTCAACAATGGCCGTTGAATGGGCGATGTTTTGTTGAATTTATTAGTAAAATAGTGACCGCTGGCCGCGTTAGAGGAGTGGCCGTTGAATAAAGAGATGAAACAAAAGAATTTTTACGGGGGGGAATTTATCATGACTGCTTACAAGGAGATGTCGCTGAATAGGAGTGGCTGCTCATACAGATTCTACTGTATCTGAAAACCTTTTGCTGTGAATTTTGCTCAAAGTGTTTGTATTATTGTAGCAAGGTTAGTCCAGGATGTTAAATTGAGTATCCCGCTTGAATTCAGATAAATGAAGATTGTAATAATATTTTCCGTACCTCTGTGCATTATGCGTTTGGAATGCATGTGTAGAAGGGCCATACAGATTTGTACAAAATATTTCCACACTGTTTTCTCAGGTATAAGTCGACCTTGTCTTTTAAAATGCTGTAATAACAAAGTGTAAAATTAGATGAATTAAAGATACATTAGTTAAGAGCTAAATCTGCCTATTGCAAAACTTTCTTTAGGCTTCAGATTTTATAGATATTATTTATTAGACCTTTATTTACATGACAAGCCCACAATCAACTCTGTAGACCCCCAGATGGCTTCGATATAGCTTGGATTTAAACGGTCGTCCATTTAACAATTTAATCAATAAATGGCTGACCAAGCTGACGTTTACCGTTAGACACTGACAACACTACCAGAGATTGCCGATGAAAGGCCGGCCAATCGAGGGTACCGTCGCCATTGAGAATGTTCCTTGACAATCGATAATATGTGGGTGATATTATCATCTGTCATCAAACGTTTGGCAATTCTTGGAGATAGTTGATGCCTATTTCTAGTCCAACAGTGACAACTTCATTCAGAATAAAGTAATTTGACTGAAATTTTCAATATTTTCTTTTTTTATCATATATTTTGAATTACTATAGCAAGAATGGCCAACTCTTTATTAAACTCTTTGCTAATGTATCTTTAATAAACTTGAAGACTGCGTCTAAATACTCCTAACTATCAATAAAACGGAGTATAGGTACCGATACCTTTATATCAGTAGATAAATTTACCCTAATCTACCCAAATCCACCATTATTTCATCAACTCCTATCAAAATAATCATATCGATTATTGTTAATATTTACCATTCTATGGCAAATTGTCATTTTTAAAAATGTGAAAATAATAGATCAACAAGAGTTAATATTTACCTTAATCATTCTTGATAAATCACCGGCATCAGCTAATTCTAATACAATATTTAATTCATTATTTTCTATAAATGATGCTAGATACTTGATAACATTATCATGGTTCAGTTGCTGTAAAATATTAATAACATTTTATTTCAAATCAAACATCATAAAATCTTATTTGAAAGAAATAATTGAAAGGGATATATGTTTCAATACTACACATGGTCATTTTGTGACTAACAGTAAGAGAGAAAGAGAGAGAGATTAACATATGGTTCAAACTTATTTTAATAATTCGCTAACGTTTAAGCGTCTTTAGCAGTGGGAGGAAACCAGAGGACCGGAGAAAACCCACGTACAACCGGGGAAACGCAACCAAGTCAGTTGACACAATGAAACACCTTATGATATAACAGGCACCCGCTAACCATTCGGCCATCCAACAGTAATGCTGTCAGAGTAGACAGTCGCAGTTACGACTACTCGTCAAGGATTCTTTTACATGCACACCAACATGTATATGGTTGAACAAAGGCTTTTTGTCTCATTAGAATGACTAGAAAACACTTTATATACATGTACATGTACTTATTAGTGTCACAAGTAGGAACCAGGCTTGAAAATGCCTGAGATTTTTCTAGACTCTCTCCAGAATGTAACAAAGAATACATTGTAAACCTTGTTTTAACATCTTGTTATCACCCTGCACTAGAGAGAAAAATGGGGTTTAAATTAAACTCGACTAAAACTAGGTCATTTTGGGACTAACACATGGTTTAATTTTAGTTCAATGATTTGCTTGAGCATAGGGATCTTTAGCAATTTTATTTCAATAATTCACTTTAGCAGTGGGAGGAAACCGGAGAACCTGGAAAAAACGCATGAGAGCGGACAGGCAACCCTACTTCTTAGTCACGTACAAGCTGGGAATGAAAACCATGCCAGTTGTCTCAATGACAGACCTTATGACCCAACTTGTATTTGTTAAACCACTAGAAAAGAGCCCCACATCCGTGTTTTGTTCATATTCCATAGTTCATAACTATTTAAATTCTGTTGACAACAATTTTGTTCTTCTTACCTTAAGTAAATCTATTTCTTTAATACAATCTTGTCTAGCTTTAGCATCCATCATTTCAAATATCTATCAAATATAACAACAAATCAATGAATATGATGAATAAATGGATGAAATGAAATCGGGTTTAAGCTGCACCAATGCTGTTGGCTGAGAAAGTTCATCAGGATGTTCTGGCGTGGTTTCCCCTTGTCAGTGGTGCAGTCCAGAGGGCCTGACAGGGACAGATATTTAGTCGTTTGGATGAGATGAAAATACGAGGTCCCCTGTGCACATTGGCAGGCAAGTAAAAGATTCCTTGGCCAATGGAATTTGATATAAGAGTAGGCCGTAGCACCATTGTCCGGGCAAAATTTCCCTCAGAGCATACTGCATGGCATATGCCCGTCTTCATTAGCCCTGTCGGAGCAGAACAGTAGGATGTAAAACCCCATTTCACTTCAGTTCATTACTACTGAACAAGTACAAGCACAGGAACCGAACATGGAATAAAAGCAGCCGCCCTTAGGCTTTTTTCAAAGAGTATTAATAATTGTACCCAAGAAGAAGAACAATCAGGTAATATAAGTAGCGTTTGGGGACCAGTTTCTAATCTAAAAATCTAAGACCACTGTACTATTACTACTAAAATCTTAGACTACTGTACTATTACCCCTAAAACATTGCAGTCATAAGTAGAGAACTGTGTCCTGACTACACAACCACACCAAACCCTTTCTTAGTTCTATATTTCAGCTATTTTCTCCTTAGTTCTATATTTCAGTTCTATATCAGCTAGCTATTTTCTTCTCAGTTCTATATCAGCTATTTCTTCTTAGTTCTATATCAGCTAATTTCTTCTTAGTTCTATATCAGCTAATTTCTTCTTAGTTCTATATCAGCTAATTTCTTTTAGTTCTATATCAAGTATTTCTTCTTAGTTCTACATGTATATCAGCTATTTCTTCTTAGTTCTATATCAGCTATTCCTCTAGACGTATACATGCATCAGCTATAATTTCTTGAAACATTAAAATACACAACTTACCTGTACTTTCTTCAAAGCCACGATTTCTTGATCTACTTTACATTTTGCTCTATAAACTTCAGAAAACTGTCCTTTGCCTATCTTTTTATCGATTTCAAAATTTCCTAGTCTGGCATAATAATTATCAGGATCTTCGGCTGTTTCCAACTCCATGGCTTCATTTGCCATCATGTTTCACCGACTGTTGTGGTCAGAATCTATAAGTAAACAATTGGATCAATAATAGCAATTAATCAATAGTCTATTGGTGGCTGAGGTATGAAAGGTTTAATTATTTATACCTGAATGCATGACCAGGTAATTAAATGTGTATAAGTATGGCTTGGATAATCCCTGTTAATCCAACTTAAGCTTCTTGAGCTATATATAACAACCACACTGATTTAATTATACTAAACAACACAGAAAACTAATTATATCACAGATTACCTGTATACAAATAATATTATTCATAATCAAAGTACACCATACTAAACTTACACTGTCTACAATTACATCTAGCTCTTTTTGAGAACAGACATTAACCCAGTTGACCGACATTTTAAGTGTTAAATCAACGATTTTAGTAGAAAACACTCAGTATATTTCAAGAATTTTGAGAAAAAGGTTTAATTAGGCTTTTGGGAATTACAGATGTGAACCAGAGTAGGAGTGCATTACAAAACAGTATACTAATTGATGTATATGGCTGCCATTTAGGGCAGAGATCTACATGTGCAGAATGATTTCACACATGTAGGTTAGTAGTTACTTTAAGTCATTGATCAGGTAAGGGATTATGATTATCTACATGTACATGTACATGTACCAGTAATTTTTGGCTTGGTTTTCTAAACTAAATGCTAAGCCTAAATAATCAATTTGTCAATTAAGTACATTACATGTATAGAAAGTTGTGAAAAATCATATATTCTTCTGATTTAGTTCAAAGTTTTGTTTTACTTGTCTTTACTACATTAGGATCTAGAAGAGTTGTTATATTACCGGTGTTTTAGTTAAGTGAGGGATAAGCCAATGAAACGGTCTGTTACGGCGACTTCTTGGCGACTTCTCTGTGGGAAAACAACTAGAAATGTCAAAGCTGATTGATTAATCAATGTCTGACATCATAGGGTCAAAAGCCGCTCATAAACACCTCACATGACCTCCCACTATAACTTGTCAGATCTTCATGTAGTGTAGGCCATCGAAAGTATAAATAAACGATACGAAATATTGATCTGTATTTTAATCAGATTGAGATCATCTGTAACTTCAGAGAGAGAGAGAGAGAGAGAGAGAGAGAGAGAGAGATGGGTTTGAACGTCACTCCACACAAACTAGGACATTTCGGGACTAACATATGGATTAATTTTATTTCAATAATTCGCTTGCGCGTAGAGGTCTTTAGCAGTGGGAGGAAACCGGAGGACCGGAGAAAACACACGAGGTTGGACAGGCGACCCTACTCCTTGTCACATACAACTGGGGATTCCATCTGTAACTTCAACGGACTCAATATGAAAGTAGGAAAACAACTAATTACAAATAAATCAATGACCAAAAGAGCAAAATGAAAACTTGTAGGCTGTGACAATCACATGAAATCAAATCTAGATACATGTAGAGAGTGATGATCTGTTGATCTTCTTGTATAAAATAGTCCTTCGGATGAGACGGAAAACCGAGGTCCCGTGTATACATTGGAATGCACGTAAAAGATCCCTTGGCAGTTGGAATTCGATATAAGAGTAGGCAATAGTGCCGCTGCCCGGGCAAAATTTCCCTCATAGCACACTGTATGGCGTATGCCGGCCTTCATTAGCCCAGTATAGGAGCAGAACAGTAGGACGTTAAACCCCATTTTATTTCTTGTATAAAATATATACAGCATGTAACTGTTTAATAATATGGAGATGGTTTCAGAATTAATAACATGTTGTGTATCTTAAAGGTAGCCGTATTGACTCAGTGAGAAGATAACTCACTAAACCGAAGGTGCTGTGTTAAAGTTAATTACACTTAAACATACATTATGCAAGAGCTAAATCTGATTATTGCAAGTCTTTATTTAGGCTTCAGATGTCATAGAAATTATAAATTAGATCTTTATTTACACAACAAGCACAAAATCAACTCTGTAGACCCACGGATGGCTAGGATTCGGCTTGAATTTAAACATGATTTCATTGATTGATTAAATTTTTAAATGGCATCGTAAGTGGAGATTAACCGTTAAGTTGACGCTATACTCCCGGATATTTTAGATCGAGGCTAAATGATAGAGTGTACGAGGTGAAGTTGCTGTTGAGCGAGGCCGCATGTCAGTCAATTTGATTGAAAGTTCGATATATACGGCCTTGATATTATGTTTAGTTGTGGTTAAAATAAGAGTTTGGATGTCGGTATTATACGCTCTTTTGTCACTTGCGTTTACAGAAAAATTATGGAAATTAATAAACATCACAGCTAACATCACCCCAGTTGAATTGCAGCCCCATTGGATCACTGTTTTCTATTTGTCTGCTTCGGGAGTTACATAGGCCTACCAGTTACAGTACAAGAGTACACGCAGGCTAACAAGAAGTCGGCTATAATTATACCTCATTGATTTGGTCCATTCCTTTCAAACTTTCGCTTCTTATCTATATATTAAAAGTCTTATTTTTAATTTGTAGTAAAACTAAATGTGATACAAATTAAATTGCAACCCCGTCTCAAACCGAATAGGCTAACGGTACCACAGCCATTGAAAACGTTACTTGATAATCGAGATTATGTAGGTGGAGTTAACGCCTGTCAATCAAATGATCGGCCATTCTCGGAGACGGTGAAGAGAGTGTTGACTCCTATTTCTAGTCAAAAATTACAATGGTGATAACTTTGTTCAGAATAAAGTAATTTGACTGAAATTTTCAATATATTCTTCTTTCATCATCTATTTTTGAACTTTTATAGCAAGAATGGCCAACTCTCTATTAAATTCTAACATAATGTATCTTTAATATACATGTACTGCAATATATGCATACAATGGCACTGTACATTAATAAATTAATACAATATATAATTTATTACATACATAAATATAAATATAGTATACTAATGATTAATAAATTCATGAAGGTCCTTTGAAAGAGATACGTTTTAGTGATTTTTATATTGTCAGGTAGTGTATTCCATAGCCCTCCATAGCATTCCAGTGTTGGCCAAGAAAGTTCATACAGATTTTCCAATGTGGTTCCCTCTTGTCAGTAGTGCTGTACGTCCCGTGTATACAATGGTGCGTAAGTAAAAGATCCCTTGGCAGTTGGAATTCGAAACAAGAGTAGGCCGTAGCGCTGCAGTCTGGGCAAAATTTCCCTCATAGCACACTCAATGGCGTATGCCCATCTTTATCAGCCCAGTCGCAGCAGAACAGTAGGACGTTAAACCCCATTTCATTTCAAGTTTTCACAACCTGCTTAAAATCAGATACAATTTGGTTTTAATTTTATATGCTCTTGTCCACAGTTTGGAGTAGAAATGATTTATTATGTCCAATTTATAGTTGGTGCAAAAAAGTAGGATGTTACATTTCATTCTTTATGCTGAGATTGTGTAGATATATAGGACATTAAACCCCATTTCATATCACTTCTCCTTTTAAAACAACACATCCTTGTTAATTAATTAAACAAGGTCATACATGTATGTTGTATTTAATCTTAAGTGGAATGTCTAAGTCATGAATTATAAATACAGTGAGAAATAAAAGACAGAAAATCAAACCAGTCATAATGGCTAGAGATAACCAATTAGCAAATAGGGAAAAATAATCAGACACGATCAATAATTGTAGCATTCCAAGCTCTTAATATATACATAGATATAATAGGTATGGATCATCTGTAACAGTATTCATAACCACATGGAATGTTTATGTTTTTAACTCTGATCAATGTAGCTGAAAGACACAACCAATTGAAATCTTATTAAAAAAACATACCAGTAGAATTCCAAGATACAAAGAGAGAGAGAAATGGAATTTAACGTCCACTCAACGAAAACTAGGTCATTTCGGGACTAACATATAGTTCAATTTTATTTCAATAATTCGCTTACGCGTAGGGGTCTTTAGCAGTGGGAGGAAACAGGATTACCCGGTTAAAACCCACAAGATTGAATCCGAGATACAAATACAGATTATGTAATGAGTAAAAGTGCAGAGACCTAGAAATTGACACAAATGGGTCGTAATGCATATAATCATGTAATATAAATGTATATAAACTGATTTACATTCAATCGTTTCCGTTTTTACTCTAAATTCAAATCAGTTTAGTTCGGCAAAATATGCCAGAAGTCTCAATCGAATGGGAATCTCTGGTTATTCCAGTCTACACCGATAGTATTTATTGTGCACGTTCTCCAGATGAGAATATGGGTCACCGTTTGACATGACTTGTGGAATATGTTTAGCCTCGTTTTTCGAGTCCCTTGTTACAAATGGCGCTGAAATGAATCATGCTACACGATTCGTGTACCAATGGTAAAATGTTTATTTTGTCTTAAATACTGCATATCAGAAGATCATCTTTTCAAGAACACAACATCAATGTTAATTTAAACTGACAAATAACTCATGTTTTTAATGTCGAAGACTTTGGATTATATTGAGTTAGAGACTTAGCTACTTTAACTCTGATGAATGTACATGTAGCTGAAAAACATACCAATTCAAATCTTATTAAAAAGATAGGTTGCCAGGCAACGAAACATACGCTCACAGCAGCTAAATCGTCTGGTCAGTCAACATTTTGTTGGTAATGAAACATTTATAATACACTAAAATCTGATCACGAGTAACAACTCATTAAGTAATTATCAGAAAATCATCAGAATTTGTTTGGCCCATGCTAAAGTTTAGTATACAAAACATTTAATACCATGGATTTAGCTGTTCAAGTTACCAAAAATCATTGAAAATCAATATACTTGTTCGTCTCAAGACCTTAAACTCTGTGTATCAATCGAAAGTCAATCGAAATGATTATATATCGGCGTAAACACGATGTATAGATATAAAATCAATCAGATGATAACTATGGTCTCTAAAGCATCCACAAGATTTTTCAAAGTGATCTGGCAGTAATTATCGGAAATCTTTGAAAATCAATAGGTTTCTTCGTCTGATGACCTTAAACGCCGTGTATAAATTTAAGGTCAATCGAATATT